ATATATATATATATATATATATATACATATATTACTGTATATGTTACATGAACAGTCTGCAGCTCAGCTCTGAAATCCTCTTGACTATAAATAGGAACATAGTTTTACCAAATGATCATTGTTTTGTATTGGAGAGTCTTTACTTGACCAGCCTGATATTTTTATTTTCTATTCAAGCTTACTTTGAGAAGTCACATGTTTTTGATAGCTGACGTGTTTCCCCTCACAGGGCAGTGGGAAGAGCGTGTTGTCCCGAGCCCTCTGCAGAAAAGCCAGAGAGGACCTGGACGCACACGTGCAGGAGGTGGACTGCAGGAAGCTACAAGGTCAGGACAGATTCTATAAATGTTTTGTTCTTTAAAACAAAAAGCTGCAGTTTATTCATGGTGTGAATGTTCAAGAAGCATTCACTCTGTTGGGATCCATTTTTCTTTCTTACATTTTTTGGCACAATTCTTGTCCTGCAGTTTTTGTGTTGTTTCAACAAAGCATAAATCAAAACGTTCAGCTCTTTCAGGAATATCCTGCTATGACTTTTGGTATTGGTGCAACTTTAGCTTTTTTAAATATTTAGCCTTTTCTGGCATTTTTTTTTCCTCAGAAAATTAATTGAGCTCATTTTACGTCCTTCAAATCTTTACATCTGTTTACAACATTTTACTGCTCCTTTCACATTTTGTTCTGGTTCATCTTCTTTCAGCTTCCTTGTGCAAATTTAAACATTTTTTCAGCTACTTTCAGCTAATTTCAGCTGTTTTGTGCTCCTTTCAGCTTCTTTCTGCTAACTACAAATTTTTTTGTGTTTCTTCTAACTTCTTTCTGCTAATTTCAGCTTGATATTCTCTTCTCAGCTTATTTCTGCAAGTTTCAGCTTTTTCTGCTTTTCAGCTACTGTTTAGCTGTTTAATGCTAATTTCAGCTTTTTCAGCTGATTCCACATATTTGCACTCATTTAAACTTTTTTCAACTTCAACAAAAATGTGTTCTCTCCACTTCTGGTAATTTTAGCTTATTTCTGCCTTTTTAGCTTCTTTTCAGCTGTATTTTTTTTTGCTAATTTCAGCTTTTTTCAGATAATTTCCACTTTTTTGTGCTAATTTCTGCTTCTTTCAGCAAACGTTCATTCTGCTTTCGTCTGCTAATTTAAGCTTGAGCAACCTTTTCAACTAGCTTTTTAATGTTTTTAGCTAACTTCAGCGGTTTTCAGATAAATCAAGTTTTTCATGGTAATTTCTGCTACTTTCAACCTAATTAATTTCTTTCTGCGGATTTTAGCTTATGCTCTTCAGCATTTTCTGCTAGTTTCAGCTTTTTCTGCTATTTCAGCTACTATTTAGCTGTTTTATGCTAATTAAAAAATTTTCAGTTACTTATACAGTTTTTTTTTAGCTCATTTGAGCTCTTTCTGCTTCCTTCTGGTAGTTTAAACGTCTTTCTGCATTTTCAGCTGTTTTTTTTTGCTTATTTCTGCTTTTTTAGCTACCGGTAATTTCCTATTTTTTTGTACTCATTTCTGCTTTTTTAAACATAATTCATCAAATATGTGTACTTTCTGCTTTCTTTTGCCAATTTAGGCTTGTGCTTTAATTTCAGCTACAACTCAGCATGTTTTTAGCTAATGTCAGCTGCTCTTCTGCAACTTCTTCAGCAATAAGCATTCACACTGCATTTTTGCAGGAAATGATTTTTTTCTAGTTCGAGGTTTCTTTTTTTTCCCCAAGGCAAAAGGGCGGACACCGTGCGGCAGATTCTGCAGGACGTTTTTGAGCAGGCGGAGTGGAGGCAGCCCTCTGTTGTTTTACTTGACGATCTGGATGATTTGACGCATACGCCGACCTCACCTGAGCACGAGCACGGGCCTGAGGCGCTGCTGCAGCAGCACATCGCACAAAGTAAATCCGTGGAAACATGTTTTTCTTTTAAGGTTTGAGAATAAAACCAGGGCTTGAAATTGCACATTTGTCTGTTTGCGGCTGCAGATCTGAAGGATGTGGTTGACGAGGCGGTGCTTCACTCCAGCCTGGTGTGTCTGGTCATCACCAGTCAGAGTGAACACACTCTGCACCCTTCGCTCACGCAGGTGCAGGGCTCTCACTTCATCCAGGGATTCGTTAACATCCAGCCACCAGAGCAGGTCAGCACAAATACCCACACTTTGACAAAAAAGTCAAATAACTCCAAACTAATCTGTTTTGTCTTCTTGTTTCCAGGCTCAGAGAGCTGAGATTCTGCACCATCTGATCCTGAGGAAGTCCTTCTTGTCTGAGGAGACCTTACGCACTCTCGACCTGGGTGCTGTTGCCAAGGAGACCGAGGGGTACACAGCCCAAGATCTCGCTGTGCTGGTGGAGCGGGCTATACACGCCAACACCACACAAACAGGACAGAGTGACCACGGTGAAAAATGAGCACGGAAAACGACATTTTAATAAAAAATCAGTCTTTAACTTCATGCTTCTGTTCAGTGTCTGTGGTTTGTTGCATCATGCTCACATTATGCTCCTCAGGCGCCTGTTTGTCACAGAGGGACTTTGTGGCAGCTCTGAATGGATTCACGCCTCCGTCACTGTGGGGGGTTGACCTTCACACACCGAGTGGAGTCGGACTAGAGAGGGTAGGAGGGCTGAGGGAGGTGCGGCAGCAGCTAATGGACACCGTTCTGCTCCCCGCTAAGGTCAGTTGATGGATGCTGATTGCAAGATGCTTCTGCAAGAATCTTGTTTTGTAGCAATGCAAACTCCAAAATGAACATTTGAACAGATTAAAAGCGTCCCTGAGCTCTACAGGAGACGTGGACGTACAAAACTGAAAATTTATACAAAGATCATGGAGTCGTCTGTTAAAACTTAGTGACTGTATCGGCCACGATCAGAGAGAAAGCCTGAGAAAAGAGATGAATACAGTTAGACTGAAAATAACTCATTTATCACTATTTTCTATATTCTAGATTTTCGTAGCTCTGTTTACCATAAAGCAGCGTTGCAATGAACAGAAATGGCTCAAAAAAGAGAAATTGAGTTTAAATTCACAAATCATTTAATTATTTATGCACTTGTCTTTGAATAATTTGATTAAACCTTTGATTGTTCCACTTGCATGTAATAATAATTATGGTCGTGCTTGCAGCTGATTAGAAAATGAAGCAGAGTGTTTTGGGCGTTATGAGAGTGATTAAGTTTATTTTTACTGTATGTTTTTATGCAGCCTTCTTTGTCTCTGTGCTGATTTTTTTTGTTTTGTTTTTCCAGACCTTTTTGTGTGTGTTAATTGGTTTTGTTTAAAGCACCATACTGGTTTCAAACCGGGACCTTATATGTTTTTCCGTCACTAAACAACAATAATCCTACAGTAACACAACAGACAGGACAGTCAAAACAGTGTTCTCATATTTTAAATACAAACCGGATTCCAAAAAAGTTGGGACACTAAACAAATTGTGAATAAAAACTGAATGCAATGATGTGGAGATGCCAACATCTAATATTTTATTCAGAATAGAACACAAATCACAGATCAAATGTTTAAACTGAGAGAATATATCATTTTAAGGGAAAAATCTGTTGTTTCCAAATTTCATGGCGTCAACAAATCCCAAAAAAGTTGGGACAAGTCCATTTTAACCACTGTGTGGCATCCCCCCTTCTTCTTACAACACTCAACAGACGTCTGGGGACAGAGGAGACCAGTTTCTCAAGTTTAGAAATAGGAATGCTCTCCCATTCATGTCTAATACAGGACTCTAACTGTTCAATCGTCTTGGGCCTTCTTTGTCGCACCTTCCTCTTTATGATGCGCCAAATGTTCTCTACAGGTCCTTCTCAAAAAATTAGCATATTGTGATAAAGGTCATTATTTTCCATAATGTAATGATAAAAATTAAACTTTCATATATTTCAGAGTCATTGCACACCAACTGAAATATTTCAGGTCTTTAATTGTTTTAATACTGATGATTATGGCATACAGCTCATGAAAACCCAAAATGCCTGTCCCAAAAAA